AGAAAGTGTCCTTACCACTTGAATAAACACCACGAAACAGAATTTTCCTATTCAATTCCGATTTGAGAAACAAAACTTCCAAATTGATTCTTTTTTAGCCTGCTATATGAAGGAAGGTTCCTTGGTTATCTTATTTAGTGACCTTTTTTTTGTGGCGTGAAGTCATATCTGATATTCCTTTTACTAAGTCCGGTGTGGTATTTGAGGTTCCGGGGCCTGAAATTTAACTCCTATCCCATTGGGTTTTTGCTGTCTGTTCCCGGTGCTTTGTTAAGTACGTAACAGAACACCATGTATATAAGAATATACCTCAGTTTTTATCAACAAATAACAGATCAGATAACAAACATGAACACATCAGGAAGCTGTTCTTCATTCACAAGTTTCCAAAATCTGGCAGGACACGAATGAGTGGCTGGTTGGCTCTTCTGTTTTGTCTACGTAGTGCATAAAACATTGTAATATCTCGGATATCTAGTATTGTTATTTTTTTTCTTCCGGATTCACCTATTTATCCTGAACGTGATTTTATTTTTGCCACATCACCCATCAAGTGCACATTGGTCTATAAAATATAGGTCTAGCCCTATATGCCAAAAACGCCTGAAGGCATGGCAAATGGTACTTTATTGTGCTTTTAATGTCATATATAATGTGTAGTTTAGCGTTTAGATTCAAGTAGCATTTAGCTGTCAGAAAAAGAGGGAGAGAAACAGAGAGAGGGAAAGGTTACGAGAAAGAGAGAGAGAGAGAGAGAGAGAGAGAGAGAGAGAGAGAGAGAGAGAGAGAGAGAGAGAGAGAGATGAAAGTATAGAAGGAGATAAATTAGAAAAAAAAAAGTGGAGCAGAACAGGGAGAGATTGCAGAGATCGAGGATTAATTAGAGAAACTGATTCGAGATTTTAAATACTTGAGTTTCATTATAGAGAGATTATTTGAAGGTTATAAAGAATTATGATTAATTAGATATAAATTCGAGATTGTAGCGACTGAAGATTAATTAGAGAGGGATTAATTAGAGATGATGGAGACAAAATATTATTGATTTAGAGATGGATTAATTCGAAATAATAGAGATTGAACATTAATTCAAGGGAGGTTATTTAAAGATCATAGAGATTAAAGATTAAATCGACACACACTATTTAGAGATTATGTAAATTTAAAATTAATTTTTTAGAGATAATTACTCGGGATTATAGATATTCTACAGATGGATTAGAGCAACAGATTTTTTTAAAAAATAAAAGGATTATAGAGAGATAAACGACTGCAACAAAATTGCTCATAAACTCACCTCGACCGGAACGCAATTATTGCCAGCCCCCTGGTGACGGAGTAAAACCTCTGGCGGGACTTGGCGTCTTTATGGTACGTGATGATATCCTGGGGGGCATAGGCGCCGCAATCTGGGGTCATAGGGGCCGGAGTCTAGGAACTTGGGTAGCTGGAGTCAGTCCCCTCTCCCTTTAAGACTGTTTAACCCCCCCCCCCCCCCCCCCCCCCAATATTGTTTAGCCTATGCGGCACCCCCCCCCCCCCCTTCCCCTCACCTCCATAAATTATTCGACCCTCTACAAAATATACAGGTAGACGAACTTGCCTTTCTAATCATGTTTTTAAAGAATTAGAAAATCATAGGGAAGAGAAAACGTAAAACAAACAGTTTATGTAAGCTTTACAAAATCGATCACAATAAACAAACAAAAGACATTGCGGCGATTGACCTTCATCAGCACATAAAGAACAATACAGTACACCTACACAAATATGCTCTAACTATGAAGTGACTACATGGGACTAATGTACACAATAAATGATACTTATCTGTGTCCCTTGCGAAAAACTTCCTCCAAAAGGATGTCACGGACAGGTACTGGCGTGTTTATCACCAACGCACGGACGGGGAGCAAAGAACGGGTACATTGTAACTAGGAAATGGACTGAGTAGACGCCCACAAACAGCGTACACTGAGTGTCTAAAGAGTGAGGGAGGGGTTGGCCAATAAGGCGTGACCCGGGTTGGGTCTTGGGAATGACATTGGTTCATCTCATGGAAACAAAGTGGTGCCTGTGCTAACGAACAAAAATATAACAGACAGGCAAGTAGGCCGGCAGACAGGCATGCTGATAGATAGATAGATAGATAGATAGATAGATAGATAGATAGATAGATAGATAGATAGATAGATAGATAGATAGATAGATAGATAGATAGATAGATAGATAGATAGATAGATAGATAGATAGATAGATAGATAGATAGATAGATAGATAGATAGATAGATAGATAGATAGATAGATAGATAGATAGATAGATAGATAGATAGATAGATAGATAGATAGATAGATAGATAGATAGATAGATATATAGATAGATAGATAGATAGATAGATAGATAGATAGATAGATAGATAGATAGATAGATAGATAGATAGATAGATAGATAGATAGATAGATAGATAGATAGATAGATCGATAGATAGATCGATAGATAGAT